GGAGCTTTCTCTTTAGAACACACTTTCAAACATCTCTACCATTTGTACCATTGCCACTGAGAGAATTTTCCTCTGCTATATTTGGTTGAAAAAAAAAGCAAAAGGTTTAAGGCAGCACGTGGTTAACTGAGGGTCTTAGAAATTATCTGGTTTAAGACCCTCAAAAGTGAGGAATCTGAAGCCCAGATGAGGCAGTCTTACAGGAGCAAACAGTAAATTTATTCCAGACCCAAAATTAGACTCAATAAATTCCAATCAAGTACTCTGTGCTATGCAAAAGACACTAGGAAATAACAGAAAAAAAATTAATCTAAAGCCAGCCCTTTGGAGAACCAAGGATCTGCAGGTTTACAATAACATGAAAGACTGGATTCAGGGTATAGAAACAGGAYCTCTCTGGCTACACCTCTTCCCTGCTCAGGGCACAAACTGTGACTCCCTATCAGAGGATATTTCAAGCTGTGCTGCAGTTAACCACCTACTGCCCAAACCCACACTGTCTCGGAAGACATCAGGCAGGGAAGGCTTCTGAGATCAGGTACTACTAAAAGGAATTTGGGCAAGCAGGAGCTGAGTGACTGGAACTGGGGGTAGCAGCACAGGTGAGGACAGAACTGACAGATTATGTAGGGCCCTAAGCTTAATATGGATCTTACAGTAGTGCCAGCTAGCTAATTAGCACAGCTTTGTCTTTCTTGTAGACCAGTTATGTGGACACCAGCTCTTGTTGAAAAATAATTTCAGGTGGGACATTAGCATTTCTGGTGACTGCTGTTGTTTTCCCTCAACCATAATGGTCGGTAAAAAGAAACTGCGGTTTTGTGTGATTTTGCACCGCTGGGGAAGAGAATCTCCCTGGGACATAATAGATGTTTTCAACGTTTGATGAAAGGGAAAATGATCCCACTTAGGGGCTGAGAAACACAGAGGACCTAGGGACAGCTTCAGGTCTTCCCCTCCATCCCAGATAGGAGGTTCCCCCTCCCCCAACCTCATCCTAGCGCTGACTTCATAAATCTGACCTCCAACTGTAACTGCCTTGGCCTCTTTCCCTGGGTGTGGATTCTCCTGCTTCAAACGCATTTTCCAGCTCGCCAAATTCTTGGGAGAGTTTCCTCCCCTCTCCAGGCGCTGAGAGCTACAAAGTTAAATCTGGCTTTCCAGTGTGTGCGTGTGTGTGTGTGTGTGTGTGTGTGTGTGTGTGTGTGTGTTTCCTCCTTCTTCCTAGTGCTAACGGAAGAAATCAAGAAGCACTGGGCAGAGGGGCTCTGCTCCCTCCAATCACAGCCAGCTCCCAGACCAACAAGCAGGAAACTCAGCAGCCAGACGGGGTCCTAGCCGCAGTGACAACCCTGTGCTCCCCTGGGACCGGTTAGGGTAGGAGAGCTCAGCCTGCCGCTCCCGCAGCTGCTCACTCTGCAAATAATAAATCAAAGAGCGGTCGACAGCGCGTCCGCCCTGGGCCAACTGCCCCCCCCCCGCCCCCGCACAGCCTGGCGCACCCCGCGGGTGCACCGCCCCCAACACACAGCTGGTGGCGAAAAGGGACCACAGCCCCACAAGTCACAGCGGACGGGGCAGAGCCCCCGCGCGCAGGTCCACGCTGTCACCCTCAATGACACACTGAGGTAGGACACGGAGACCTGGTCCCCACGAGCAGTTCCACGCTGTCATCCTCAATGGCACTGCGATGAGAGTCGCTCATCGACTGTGCCACTGTGGGGCGCGGAGACTCGGCCCCCACGCGCAGTTCCACGCTGTCACCCTCAATGCTGAGCCGCTCACAGCACAGTGGGACAGAGACAAGACCCCACGCGCAGTTCCACGCTGTTACCCGCAGTGACACACGAAGACCCAGTCGCCACGCGCAGTTCCACGCTGTCACCCTCAAAGACACACTAAGATGTGAGCCACTCACACATGGGTAGGGCACGGAGACCCGGGCTCCACGCTGTCACCCTCAAAGACACACTAAGATGTGAGCCACTCACACATGGGTAGGGCACGGAGACCCGGGCTCCACGCGCAGGTCCACGCTGTCACCCTCAATGACACACTGAGATGTGAGCCGCTCACACCGCGGTGGGACAAGAGACAAGGATCCCAGGCGCAGGTCCACGCTGTCACCCTCAAGGACACGCGGAGACCCCGCACTGGCCCACCGAGTGCCTTCGGTGGCACAAACCCAGAGAGCCTGCCACTCGACCCAAGGGCAGGGAGGGGGCCCCCAAGCGCGGGCCCGCGGCCGCCCTCATTGACACGCGGGGACGGTGGCCAAGCCCGACTCGCCGGACGGCCGGGACCCCACGCGCGGGTCTCAGCAGGCGCGGGGCCTCGGTGCCGCCTTGAGGCGAGACAATGCCCGGGCGCACGGCGGCGCCACGGCCCGGTCGGTCCCCGGCGCGGTCCCGCCCCGCCCCGCCCCGGCCCACAGCTCAGGGCGGCGCCCCTGGGACCCGCCACGGCCCAGGACCCCCACCCTGCTCGCCACCCTGCGGGCCCCGCCGCCCGCCTCACCTCAGGCCGCGCCTCGCAGCGCCGCTCCCGCCCGGGCGCCGGCCGAGAGAGCGCAGCCCGTAGCGGCAGACGGCAGAGCCGCGGCGCCTCAACAATGGAGCCGGGGCGGGGCCCTCTGTCTCGGCAAGCTCCCCTCTCTGCCGGCTCCGCGCGGGGATGCGGCCGGCCCGGGGATGCGGCCGCGGACACTGCGCACGCGCGCGCAGCCCCGCCCGCCGCAGCGCCCCGCCCCAAGGCCGGCTCCTGGGCCCGCCCTCCAGCCAATGARAAGAGAGGAACTTGGAGGGGGCGGGGCCTGGGAACAAAGGGAGGCAGGGCGGGGTCTGGCAGGCTGGCCTGGATTTGGGGCTGCCCCCTGCGAGGCTGCTGGAGGGCTCAGCACAAGGACACTGGGTCTCAGTGCAGCAGCCAGTGCTCACCCTAAACCCCGAGCCCAGGTTGTAGAACTGAGAGTGAGAGACAGGCATGCTTTACAGAGGGAAACTGAGACCCAAGAAGCAAGATCACCTGGTGCCCAAAGTTACATAGTCCCTTCCATCGTTTGCCTTTTAGTCATTCAGCAAACATTTCGAAGTATGCCCGTGTTTGTTAGCAGTGGAGTGAACTTGGGCTTCCCTTGAGGAGTTCTGCCAGGCAGGACCATTTCTCCATCTCACTTTAATGTCTGAAAATGTTGCAGGGGACAGACAAGGCAAGACACCAAATAAGAACAGAAAACAGGTTTATTTGGCTATAGCCAGGTTCAGAGGACAAAGCTTTCACTGTAATCCATCAATCCCCCTAACTGCGAGTTCAGGCAGTTTCAGAACGTTATACCCAATGTGTAAGGGGAGGGGGGGGTGGCTCAGAAGTTCACAGTCTGCAGAAGTTCACATAAAAGCAG